TTCCTCTCCCAACCTTCGATGGGCCGCCTTTGGTGCCTGCGTCAGAGGTTAGGAGTTTGGGAGTGCTCCTGGATCCCTCCTTAACTATGGAGGCCCAGGTGGCAGCCACTGCCAAGGCACCCTTTTACCATCTTAGGCTGGTTCGGCAGTTGGTTCCCTTCCTTGACTGTGATGACCTGGCTACATTGATCCATGTGACAGTCACCTCAAGGCTAGACTACTGTAACGCTCTCTACATGGGGCTGCCTTTGTCGCAGTTCCAGAAGCTGCAGCTAGTGCAGAATATGGCGGCCAGGCTGTTGATGGGTCTCCCCAAGTGGGAGCACATCCAGCCTGGGCTGAAAGCGCTGCACTGGCTGCCAATAGCATACCGGATCCATTTCAAAGTGCTGGTACTTACCTTCAAAGCCCTATATGGCCAGGGTACGACCAACCTGAGGGACCCCCTTTCCCCACACATACCCCCAAGAGCACTTCGGTCGGGGACACATCACCTGGTTATTCCAGGCCCCAGGGAGGTAAGGCTTCCTACGACCAGGGCCAGATCCTTTTCAGTGGCAGCTCCTACCTGGTGGAATGAGCTCCCAGAGGAGATCAGGGCCCTGCAGGACCTTATGCAGTTCTGCAGGGCCTGCAAGATGGAGCTCTTCTGCCAGGCTTTCACGTAGGGACCGCCACTACCACCACCACCACCACCACCACCACCATCGGCATGGGTAACAACAGGGCTAGGGGGACGGCCCTTGGAATATCTGCCATAACATTATGTGGTGCTGGTACCACTGGACTGGCTATGTACCAACTACAGGACAATACTACCTCCAATAGAAGACAGATATTATCTTGTAATTTATTCGGAGACCATCTTGGTACTACTGAGCACTTTATTTTTGTTGATATTAATGGTTTTATTGTTTTATCTTGTTTTTATGTATGGGCACTTGTGCTCTCTTGTAAGCCACCCTGAGCCCACTTGCAGGGAGGGCGGGGTATAAATACAATTTTTTTAAAAAAAAATCATAAAAAGTTCTGCTATGGAAATTACACCAACTGCCAACTGTAGTAGGTCACTTTTTTGGCTGTGGGACAGGCCAATGGAGCACCTTCCCTATGAGGAAAGGCTGAAGAGTCTGGGACTTTTAAGTTTAGAAAAGAGATGACTCATGGGAGATATGACAGAGGGTTATAAAATTATGCATGGGGTAGACAGAATTGACAAAGAGAACTCCCCACACGCCCCAAACAGTAGGACATCCAATAAAGCTGATGGGCAGTAGATTCAGGACAGATAAAAGGAAATAATCCATTACACAAGTGATTAAAATGTGGAGTTCATTGTCAGATGGTGTTGTGATGGTCACAGGCATAGATGGCTTTAAAACGAGATTAAATAGATTCATGGAAGATAGTTCTGTGGCTACTAGTCATGGTGACTAAAGGGTACCTCCACATTCAGAGGCAGTAAACCTCTGAATACCAGTGCCAGGAGGCAGCATCAAGAGAAGGCCTTGGTCTCCAGGGCCTATTATTAATAGGAATATGCATTCAGCTGTATTGAGACAAAAAATACCTTATCAGTATTTTTCGGGTATTTTCTCAGCCAAATACAGATCAAAGAATCTTCTTGGCTACTGGTATGGCCGATCACCCCAAAAGGTGATTTCTTCCGGGTATTTTTTTTTTTGGGGGGGGGTAAATTTGACAATACTGAGTAGCTGGATATAAAAAGACTGCAGAGTTTGCCTCTAGGCCTTTCCTTCCTTTGGCTGTTGTTTCCAGGTCAACACAAAGGAGCAGGGAAGAGCCATCTCTGCAGTCCAATGGGAAAAAGTACCTTGGAGGAGCTGTAGTGCTTTAGGGCCAATCATTGCAATGCATTTGGCTTCAAATGTGAAGTCCAGCAGCCTAGTACATTGCACTGGTACAAGCCTGTCAGTGGCATTGATTCTGCCGGGCACTCTGTACATTGTACTGTTTCTGCTGGGCTTGCAAAAATGCCCCCCCTTCAGTTTCTACTGCAGAGATTCTCTGGTTTGACCTTTGTCCTGTTGGGTTCGCACTGCCACAGTGGTGCTGGTTCTGCTGGGCACATTGCACTGGTTCTGATGGGCTTGCAAAATGCCCCCCCCTTTCAGTTTCTACTGTGGAGATTCTCTGGTTTGACCTTAGTCCTGTTGGGTTTGCACTGCCACAGTGGTGCTGGCTCTGCTGGGCACATTGCACTGGTTCTGATGGGCTTGCAACCCCCTCCCCCTTGTTTGGATCCTAGCCTCTGCACCTAGTTCCTAAGTGACTAATTTCCCACCCTTTCTCATAAAATTATTATGTGGTTTGCTGGAAACAATTAGTGAATTTGGCACATTACGAATAACATGTGAGAGACTGAATAGATTTTTTGCATGAAACAATCTATCTTAACTTTGATTTTCCAATATATATTTTTGCTGGGTTGAAGCACTGTTTACCCTTCCATGTGCAGACTGTACTTGGGTTGAAAAGGACATTTTTAAAAATAAAAAAGTTAAATTGTCTTAATAACACTGATTTCATATTTCAGATGTATTTTGTTATTTAGGTTTATAATCATAGAAACAGAATAGGATGGATTCAGCAATCTTTGGGCTTGGATCCAGTGGTAATTCCCATTGACAGGATTTCTGTCAGTGAGTCCAAATTTTTCCCCTTCCCCTCCTGCTGTAGCTCAAAATGAATTGGGCCAGTTCAGTGGCAGAAGGGCTGCACTCAACCTGCACAAAGTCTGTGCAGTGTGGGGAGGTGGTGCCCAGCCCACCTAAGCCCCACACGAAGCAAGGGAGGTGGTACCTAGCTTCCCATACCCCTAGATAGGCTGCAGCAGGTACACGCAAGCCTCATGAAAGAAGAAGAAGAAGAGATTGGATTTATATCCCGCCCTTCACTACCCAGAGGAGTCTCAGAGCGGCTTACAAACTCCTTTCCCTTCCCCTCCCAACAACAGACACCCTGTGAGGTAGGTGGGGCTGAGAGAGCTCTGACAGAAACTGCTCTTTTTCAAGGACAGCTCTTACCAGAACTATGGCTTGCCCAAGGTCATCCAGCCAGGTGCAAGTGGAGGAGTGGGGAATCAAACCGGGTTCTCCCAGATTAGAGTTCGCGCACTTAACCAAGAAGAGAGATGTGGCACTTTTCTGCCCAAGGAAAGTGGTGCCCGGCCAGTTGGGTACAAAGGCTGCCTCTTCCTTCCCTCCTTTTGGTTGGGTGGGCTGGGGGCACATACAGTGCCTCTTCCTCTCTCCCTTCCTCCTTTGGGGGCACAGGGATGGACTGGACGGGGGCAGTACCCTTTTCTTGGGCCATTTTCCCTTCCCAGTCTGCCCCATTTGTGATTCTGCTGGGACAAAACAGCTGGAACCCCTTTCCATCTGCTGGCATGCATTATTCCTGATGGTGTTCAATCAACATCTGGATCGTGTCACACTGTATTTTTGTTGAATTGGTGCTAGAGTTCCTAGCCTCTGCTCCTGATTGACTCCAGCTGTCTGAAACATGGAACTTACATTGGTAAGGGCCTTTGGTAGTGTTGTCTGAAGAACTCTAGCTAAGGAGAAACAAAGATTCTTTGGGTAGTGTGACCCCACTGATCATCACTGGTGACTCATAAACTGTGAGTGTCAGCATAAAAGAGGAGAATAGAGCACAAGGGTCACCTAGATGAATAGGAATGGGTTGCAGTAATGAACTTCCTGAGGACAATAGTATGTGGTATGCAGTGGTGGGCTGATGAAAACATAAGAACATAAGAGAAGCCATTTTGGATCAGGCCAATGGCCCATCCAGTTCAACACATTGTGTCACACAGTGGCCAAAACCCAGGTCCCATCAGGAGTTCACCAGTGGGGCCAGAACTCCAGAAGCCTTTCCACTCTTGCCCCCCAAGCACCAAGAATACTGAGCATCACTGCCTCAGACACAGTGTTCCATCTATACCTTGTGGCTAATAGCCACTCATGGACCTCTGCTCCAATCCCCTCCTTAAGCTGTCAATGCCTGTAGCTGCCACCACATCCTGTGGCAGTGAATTCCATGTGTTAATTACTCTCTGTCAGGGGTGTGGCTGTACCACACTAAATGAGTTGGCTGTTTCCTTGTATGGCTGTCACTGATACATCTTTGACATACTGCACTGTGATTGGTAGGTTGCTTTAAACTCAAGTGCAATCACTATGTGCTATATCCCCTCAGTTGAGTGAGCATAAGATGTTGATTAGCAGCACCAATGATAAGCCAATGTCAGGGTTTTAGGATGGGGCTGATAAGATGTTCCTGTAAACCCCTCCCCCCACTATGTGTCTGCATAGAACCTGGTATGACTGTAGGTATATGTAGATAGTTTTAGGTAGACACATACACTGTTTTTAAGCAGAACACAGGTAAAAGAGAGCCAGTTCTGAATTTTCCCCAGTAAACTATTTTATTATGCCAGTTCTAATTATCATGCAATCTACTGGGCATCACAAACATTAAAGCATTTTATATTGTCATTATACATCAATGTTTGCACTTGGGTTATACATATATACAGAAATTATTAACACCTTGCTATTTCCTTCCTTCAACCAACATAATTTTCCTGTGAAAGCAGCTTTTTAATAAACAGCATAAGAAATACAGCAAGGCACAATTTTTAAAAATGTGGGGCTTCTTTCTGCTTACCACCTCAAGAAGTGTAGTATAAAACTAAAATATTATACTTAATTCAGTAGAATGTTAACAGTTCTTAATATACAACACTGTGTAGCTGTTTCTTGAAGTGTTGCATAGATTAATTTTAAAACAAAAGGATAACTTTGTGTTTATTTTGAATAACTTCATATGTATTGAATCAGAAACATTAAGGTCTTTGCTGCAATCGAACTTTCAGTTTAAACATAAAATAATTTCAATAAACAATATGCATTATACACATAAAATATCAAATTTGATACACAAAATAGGAGAATTAATGACATATACAGGTCTGAAATGGTGATCTAGAATTACCATATATTCTGTGGAATTGCAAAAATCATAAAAAAGGTATTGGTGAGAAGTCATATGGAGGCATATAAATTTGGAAGGGTAGGTTGTTGAGAGGTAGCTTGGGAGAGAAATCCAGATGAAAACAAATGGTTTAACAAAATGATCATTGAAACAGAATCAGCATATGCATCCTGGTCTCAAAGCCAACATGGAGAAATCACATTTGGAAGGAAAGTTTATCTTGGGAGAGTAACAAAAGGCAGTGATACAATGGAATTAGAGGTCATCCCGGGGTTTAGAGCATGAGCCTGCACCTGAAAGGCAGCCAATTTTCTAAAAGGAAAGGGGAAAAAAGTAATAGCATGTTACATAAAGCACTTTTCATCGGCAAAACACAAGCTTTTCCAGAGCAACCTAAAATAGCCATTTTATGATCTCATACCAATGTCCTCATATGTAAAATGACTGTATACGAGCAACAATTTTTCATAGCCTGAGGTTTTAAGTCAGTATCAGAGAGATATCTTTTTATTGATGTAGAAACGCCATTGATTTTTATAAAACAAGATTTAGTTTCAAAAGGCACAGGGGAAATAATCAAGTTTGACCTTTTCCCTCAATCCCGTCCTTTCAGGTGCCTGTGAACTTACCTTCTCTACCTTTTGAAAGTGCACAATCAATAGGAATGCATGACTTAAATAAAGGCCAACCAACCAAAATAATCTCCAGTCCTAAACCCATTACATGGAAGTAAGACCCATTAAAGTCAGGAGACTTGCTTCCAAGTAATCTAGTTAGGCTTGGGATGTAAGTAGGTTACATAAACAGAATCATAACCTATTTAAGTATCATTTATAGTGTGCTTAAAAGCAATTAAAAAGGTGAGAGGTCTCAGAAAAATAATCCATAATTATAAGCACTACATTTTTTAAAAAAATTAAAATTTGTATTTATTGTTAGAGTAATTAATGATTCCCCCCCATGATACAGAAATTTTCTAGCTTGGGTTAACCTATACAACAAAGATTAGAGGTTTATGATGAGGATTATGAAGAAGTAACTGTGAGAATATAGCAGAGAGATTAGTACAAAGTACCTCTCTCAAGCGGAGGCACTCCAGGCTTGCATTATATGCCTTCCAAATCAAGTGGAAATAGCTGGGTCTATCCAGTTACCTTCTCCTTTGATCTTAGTTGCTGTAACTGACCTCTCTATTTTTACAGAAAATGGTGCTTATGCAAAATTTCCTAAAGTATTTCAGGAAAGTTGTTACATTTCTGTTGTTAAAACCTGGAGTGGCCTTTTTAATTGAAATCCTCACGCTTGGTCTGTATATATTTCAAACATCCTAAAGCTATAGAGATAGAACAGAAAGGGATATACAGTTACTATTTCTATTCCACCTCAGGTTAGATGTTCTGGAACAATTTGCTGCCATGTGCCACTGTCTGTGGCTAAATAATAACCATGTTTAATAACTCTGACCATGCAAGAATGATTTTGGTATGGAAAAAGGCTTCTAATTCCAGACCACCTTCAGGATTGGGCTCAAAACAATAGCAAAAAGTATGACAAGTGGGTGGGTATCATAGTGACAGCAACAAAAAGATAGCATGATCTCATCCTTTGTTCTTTGCAAGATCGCACCTTCTTGAGAAAACAAAAAAACCTGAGCAATGTTCAAGCAGCACATTGGCTCACAGAACAGAATGATTGCTCCTAATGTAGAACTCCTTTTGAAGCTGCTTATAGCATTGCTATTACTCTCTCTTAATGGTCAGTTTTTATAACACACTGATAAAGAATGAGATTACAACTTAGGTACATTCAGCAGCAAAATATATTTGCTTACTCCCACTTTATTCTTGGTTGCAGCTGGAGCAAAGAGGCAGAAATCATAAAATTAGTTGAGCTGCGTTGGTAAATATGCATACTGTCACCTTTGCGAATTGAGTTTATTTTTAGGGTACACATATACCATAGATAATTTTTCTCTTAAGTATCACAGCTCCACATAAAATCACACATTTTAATGAGCTTACAGCACAGGTGCTGCAGGAAAAAAAATAATGGTGTTTGCCATTTATCTTTCAAATTAAATAATGTGTTTTTAAATAGTAACTTTTTTCATAATACACTTATGGGAACAACATTTATCTGTCACATTTTAAGAGCTGTATTAGTAATAAATGTAAATTACCTTTGGAAAATCAGTAATTAGGCTCATCAAAAAATAAACAATCTGCCACCAAAAAGATAATCTTTAGCATAGTTAAGTATAATAACTGTTATTTGAATAAGTTAACAAATTAGGATAGATTGCCTCTAATTCATTTCCCATAGCATGGGAGATGAAGTTAAAGTATCAACTAAGCTCTCACAGTGGGGGAAGGGACTGTTCCAATTCAGTAGAAAAGAGATGCCAGCACATCTTTTCATTTGTTTCACGCTCACTAGCCTCTTGACCTAGGGTTCCATAGCAAAACTGCAGCTCTCACATGGATTTCCTGCAGACATGGGCTGAGTCAGACTGTTGGTCTATCAACGTCAATACTGTCTACTCTGACTGGCAACAGCTCTCCAAGGTCCCAGGTCCAATACAAGCAATCAATTTAGGAGGCACTTCTGTTGGCACAAAGGTATTTGCACAGAGGCACCATGTCCATTCTAGTGTATAGGACTGAGAAGTTCTGTTAATATGTCAGTATTCTAACATCAAGTGATGGATGAATCAACACATAGAGCTGTTTGGGGCACTACCCCTGGTATTATGTCTATACTTTTCCTAACAAAAGAAGAGACCTGTGATCTTCCACGAGCTTCCGCCTCTGATATTGCACTGCACCTCTTGTGTGAGCAGTTACTTGCACAGATACAGCTGGGTATAGATTTAATTTCAGGATTTCACAACAATTTATTTCACAAGGATTCCTCTGAATAAATGGTGTTTATGTAAAGCTAAAAGAGGATTAGTATATAAAATGCTATTAAAATAGAGAAATGGGATTATTCTCAACAGAAGAGGTTTCTTTTTAGAATCATTATAAGGATTGATTTTTTTGTTCAGAGCTCGCTTGACTGGGCAGCAGAAGAAACCAAGGAGGGCTGGAGTGCCCAGAAACAGAGAAGCAATTCTACACGTCATCAAATCCTCCCAAGTTACACTTTAGCAAAAGGGCTCTTTTTGTAGCAGGTACTCATTTGCATATTAAGCGACACACCCCTAATGTAGCCAATCCTCCAAGAGCTTACAGTAGCTCCTGTAAGAAGAGCTCTGTAAGCTCTTGGAGGATTGGCTACATTAGGGGTGTGTGGCCTAATATGCAAAGGAGTTCCTGCTACAAAAAGAGCCCAAAGGTATATATGTATGACTAGTTGCAACAGCACGTAGATAAGCATCAGAATGCACACCCTATGAAAATGCGATGGCACATGCAGTTTATGTCCCTACTTCCCCAATTCCTGATCCAGCAAGGAATCCACATATAGATCTAAACTGGATCGGTGCGAATAATGCTGATTTAGCACAGGAGACAAATTCCCGAGAGGCAGATGCAAAAACAATGTAGAACTTCTTGAGCCTTAACAAATTTATATATTTATTGTGACATGAATTTTTGTGGCCCCTAGTCTTTGGAAGAATAAATTCTGATGACTGTTAGCTTTTAAGGTGCTCCAAGATTCCTTCATCACAATCCTATGCAGAATTAGATTTCCTACGCACAGTGCAATCCGTGGGCTTTGGCACACCTAACTCTGCAAAGGAGCAGAGTGTTACTTAGTGTTAGCATGACAGAGGTTTACATTTACAACAAACTCCTCCTAAACAATCCTAAAAACACTTTCCTGGGAATAAGCCCACCAAATACAGAAGTGGAGCTTACTTTTGAGTAGAGACCCACTGAGGATTGTTCCCCCTATCTCTCACTCTTTCTGGGAAATCTTTATGTAGTTCTTCACAGGAATTATGGAAATAGGGATCCCTTAGCCTGCAGAAGAAGAATTAAGGGAGATCATCTTACCCATTAGGGAACAATGTCTCTGTCTCCTCTTTCTCAGCTCTTAAAGCTCCCATAGAGAGGAAATATAGGGAATATACCTACCTTTTAAATAAGGGAATTTCCCCTTTCAAGTATCTACCAGAAAGTATTGGGTTGGACCTACCCCATGTTGGTTATTTCCTTCGCCCTGTCTCTCAGTAGCCCTGACCTGGCTGGCCCAGGCTAGCCCGTTCTTGTCAGATCTTGGAAGCTAAGCAGGGTCAGCCCTGGGTAGTACTTGGATAAGCGCCCCCAAGGAAGCCCAAGGTTGCCACATAAAGGAGGCAATGTCTAACCACCTTGGAAAGTCTCTTGCCTTGAGAACCCTACAGGATTGCCATAAGATGGTTGTGACTTCATGGCACTTTCCACCACCACTATCTCTCAGTAAGCAGAACCTGAACAGTGTGTAGAAACTCTCCTCAAAACTCTTTTCCTCTACCAAAACACATAGGGTCTGTTGTCTTCACTCTCATACTCAGGGATGTAGGATGATGGTGTCTTATCAATTAAAAAAGGATGCTTCAGGGCTGGACCCAAATGGTTGGGAATGGGGAAAGCCCAGCATTTCTTTCTTTAGCACACCTAAGAGAAAGTGGTATATAAGTAATGATGGAAAACAATGCTCAGTTGCTCATCCCATTGCCCAATACAACACAGCTGTGTAGCATCTGCCTTGAATCTTCCTGTAGTGATAGCTTCACCTGCATTGCAGGAAGTAGAGAACAACTGACATGGGGGTAGGTATCTGGGGACTGTGTCTAAAAAGTCTAAAGCAAATTAAGGGAAATTTCTCACTTTACATTTCGGTACAGTAGCTAAGTACAACAGACAGGTACCTTGCATCTCCTTGAAATGGTGCCTGTATGTTTTAAAAGGTGCTCTTCTCAGAGAAACACATATAAAAAGTAAATAGGCAAATAAGATTTAACATTTGTATTGTGCTTTCAAGTGTTCAATTGCTTTTCAAGTGTTATGGATTAGATACTAACACTCACAACAGGAAACAATTGCAAAAGGAGATCTTCCCTGCCTGATCCCAGCAAATGCTTAAGAACTGCTTAGAGTTTAGATACCCTCCTCAGTAAAGTGTTACATTGCACAGAGGGCTGCAGACAGTAAGAAGGAATGGGGTGAAGTTGTCCCTTCACCACTCCTCTGCAAATGAAGCAAGCAAAGTCTTCAGAAAGGAGGGCAACTTCATCCACTTTCCCCCTTCTTCCCGCAGCCCTACCTGCCACATGCTATTTTGTTTAGGAGGGTCCCCCAACCCTCAGCAGAGGCTCTTCATGGTGCACAGGGGACTGCTGGGGGAAGCCAGGGAAAATCATCTTTTATCCCTATCTTGTTACAATCTGCTTTGGAATGTAGTTAATTTTATTATCGCCAGATTGTAATAGTGGCTGAAGCTAGGAGAGAGTAGCTTAGAGCTCATGGCAGACATGATTCATAACCACTATACTCAGGGCTTTTTTTTCTTCTTTCTTTTTTTTGGAGAAAGAAGTGTCAGAACTCTCAAGAGGGAAATGAAGTTTTCAATCTGTATACAGAAAACTCATACACATTTAAACATTTTTAAAAGAATGTTGTCAAAGAGGTTCCAGAGCTCCGTTCCAGCGCATTCCCCCAGACTATACTGTACCAGCACATCTCCTGCCTTTTGTACATCTTGATGAACAACGGCAGTACTTAAAATTCATATTAGCAATTCTTGATGCATGAAGTCTGCATTTCATACTTGGTTATCTGTACCCAAGTTCAAATTCTAAAGTAAGAAGTGACTTCAAATGAATATTAGTTTGTAATAACAAAATACTATGACCCATTTAATAATCCTGAAATGAAACAAATTGTGCTTTGTTATACAATCATATAAATAATGAGTAAATCTCATCCTGCATAGGTTATAGTACCTACCTGTTTATGAAATAAGTAGGTGTCCAGGGATGATTACATTCTACCTATGTGCATTTATGTGCCTTTCTTTGTGAAGATGCAAGAGGTTATTTTCACATGTAACAGTTTTAGTGTCCTGGTACAAAACATCCTTGCCTTCCAAGTGACCCAATTTTAACCGAATGTCTTCTACTGAGGCCTTTATGGAAGACGCAGGATTGTCTTCAGACTTTGCAGTACCAAGAGACTCTCTAGGAAGATTTTCTTTGGAGCTATTGGGGAGAGAATTCAAATCTGAACCTTCACTAGCGATGTCCAAAATCAATGATTCACTAGCAGAATTTTTAAAATTATCTGATACCATCTGGCTAAGAGAGTCAGGCACATTTATGTCCATCTCCTCATTTAACAAAGAAAAGCCATTATATTCTGCTGATGTTTCAGGTTCATCTATTAAACCCAACCCTTCATATTTCACCAGAGGTACATCAGGGGCACTGTTAGCAATGCATGCTTCTTGTTCAACTCTCTCCTCTTCAGGACAGGCTTCAAAGAAACATTCAATATTGTCCCTGTCATCTGCAAAGTCCAGAGGTACTGGAGTACTGCATTTTTCTTCAATGTATTTCGTTACCTCCCCACAGTCGCTATCATGAGAAGAGAGAGAGAGGTAAGAATAAAAATCTCCTTTCCTAAGCTGTATTGGCCTGTGAGAATGCTCTAGGACTTTTTCCTTGATCTGGGCTAGTGGGTGTGGAATGGCTGGCTCACACACAGGCTGGGACTTGTTCTTCAAGGCCGTTGAAGCCATGTCGATGATCTCCATCACAAAGTTGTGCACTGAGCAATCCTCTCCATTTCTTTTATCAAAAGCAACAGATTCACAGTTACAACACGAATCTGTACCATTGGCTGAAGTGTTTTTTCCTGCTTCATTTGATTTTAAAGCTGCATCGCAATCACTGCCATCTTTGCTAATTCTTGTTCTGTTTTGTTGATTGTATGGCAGAGATTTTACTAAAGCTGTATCTGATGCATCTGTACCTTTGATATCTGAACCAAGTTCTGTAAAAGACTTATTAATGCAATGGCTATCAGACTGAGGATGTTTTTTATGATCTTTTGGAGAGCTGGATGCATTTGACAGTTGAACAGTCTCCTTACTATCCATATGTGAACAATCTGAACTATCAATATGTGCTTCACAGGCATAAAATTCATTTTCACTTCCTGTAACATCAAGTGAGCTAACATTTGTGGGAGCTGCAGAAATTCTAGTAAGTTCTTCCTTTGGACTTTCTTGAGTATTTGCAACATTACCATTCTCCATGTCGTCCACTAGATGATCCTTTGAAAACTGAAAACCATCATTTTTAATTTGCCTGTTTGCCCCAGGCTCATGACTATCTGACATGGCCTTGCCATTGCCATTATTTTCTGCAAGTTTGCGTATAGAATCATTCAAAAAATTTTCAATGCTCAAAGCATCTTTTGATTTTATAGTCTCATTACTTCTTAAATTCTTACAGCATTGGATTTCATCATCCAGGTTGCACCTTCTCTTCTCCTTTGTCAGATAAAATTTTGGTCTGATCCAAGTGTGGAGTTCATTCTTTATGTAGTCAAGTCCTGAAATTAAATTGCCATCTTCATAAATATCCTCATCAGTTGCAATACTGGAATCATCATCTTCGTCTTTAATGCCCAGCTCTTCTTCAGTCAGGGTGAGGGTAGAACTTGATAGCAAATCACTATCATCTTCATCATCAGTGCAAGCGGAGGTACAGGAAACATTAACAATCATGCTAACGTTGACATCGCTCTCATCAGCTACCGACCGATTGAGGTGTTTTCTGAATGATGCATTTGAATCTGGTACTTTATTTCTGTGCAATACAATATCTTCAGAGCACAGAGACAGATCATCACTGCTGCTTAGCTCAGTGAGGGAGGCAGGTGAATCCTCATTGATAGAGGATGCAATATCCAGTGACAACTGGCCAGTCAAGGACATTCGTTGAGAAATGCTTTGGAGTGTAATATCAGAAATGCTACGCTTTATCTTTTGATCTAAAGGGCTCTGGATATTTTCTAAACGATTCAAAAGGTCTAATGTCCTTTTACTAAGTTCCCCAACAGAATCACTACTTCCACTTAGGTCTCCAGACCCATTACAGCTAAAAAGATCTTCATTGCTTTTGTAGGGAGTTAGCCAACTCTCCAAGGAAGTGCTCCGATGAAGACCATCACCACTTCTAAAAATACTTGAGCCAAACAAATCACTTGCCACAGAAAGGGAATCTAAAGAAGAGCTGTGTGATAGAGTTGAAAGCAGTTTCACATCTGTCCTGTCACTTAGTTTCTTTAAATCTTCTACAAATTCACAGGGTTTGGGCTCCAGAGTATCCAAGTCAGTTGATAAAACAAGTTCCTTTGTAGATGCACAAGGTTTTAACTCCATAGGCTGATGCTCAGATTTAAATGGGATTTTATCAAAATAAAAGCCATGTAGCAAACCGCCCTGTTTGTGTGCTTTTTCAGAACTTGATTGTTTCATTAACATTGGCAGTTTGAATTTAGAACCCTGAAGGTATGAATAGTCATAAAATGTAAAGACACTGTGTTTTCCTTCTTGTAAGCCCTCTTTTGAACACTCAGGGCTGCTTTGGGTAACACAGTCCAGATCACTAACTTTTTCACTGGACTTTAACTGAGAAGAACTGAGGAAATTAGCATAACTCTCCTCCTCTTCCTGTTTAAAATATTGTTTTGTTACATCAACAATGTCCCCTACTTGGGAATTGGAGGCATTAGTTACAGAATTACCCTGCATTCCATCAGTACCACTTTGCAAACTGATTTCAGAGTTTTTCATAGCCTCTACATCAACTACATTTGCTACTTTATTCTGGGTCTCTGAATGTCTGCTTATGTTTCCACCGTGATACATATAATTCTGTGGTTTCGCCAAAGTGTTGCTTCCTGTTAGGTCTGGCAAATATTTAGAAGGTGACAATGATGAGTCTTTATTTGCATGGATGTTGGCAATGTCCGATTGTGTGACACTGGGGAATCTGGATGTGTTTTTCATCAAGGATATATGATTTATTCCTGATAATGCCACATTATGGAGGCTGTAGACTTGATAGACCTGAGGGCCTGGTGATTTTGTAATAGTGGGGCTGCTGAGATAATTTTCACAAACACCGGAGTTTTCCTCTTGTTTTGGACTATTGTTAGCACATGCTTCAGATGCAGAGTTCAGCTTTGTGTCATCCTTCTTCAGTACTCGATCAAGCTCATTGGGTTCCTCATTAATGCTAATTAACTTATTACTTATATCCATTTCATCCCATTCCAGTGCATCTTCACTTGTGCCGTTTAGCTCCATCAAGGCAGGATCAATAACATTCAAGGATTCCTGTTTCAAACAAACAAACAGAAAAACAGAACCACCTGTTAATCAAAAATTTTAATAATACACTTCACCTCCATTATTGAAAAGCATTATAAAGTACATTACTCATTATAAAAAGCCTGTTGCTTGTAGTAGGGCTACACAAACATAGATTTGTGAGTTGTAAAACATACAGAAAATTGAGATACATTTCTGAAACAGAAGAAATATTAATAGAGTTAGTACTGAGGCTAGAATATTGGTCCTGGATGTAGGAAAGCTAGGATCAAATTCTGCTCAAGCATCTATCATATTTTTGTTTTGCCCTACCTCCAAGCAGCATAATAAGGTACTATCCTTCCATTTTATCCTCAACAAAGGTATGAGGTGGGTTAGGATGGGAGTGTGTGTCTAAGGTCACCCAGTAACCTTCCTGGCTTAGTAGAGATTTAAACCAAGTTTTCTTAGTAAGATACTGTGACCACTAAACTTTACAGACACTTTTGTTATACTAGATGGTCTTTGGCTTCAGCATAGAAATCCAACAACAGTTTAACATACTCCAAACTACTTAGTTGCTCAACTAAGGAAATACAAATACCATTAACAACAGGAGCTTCACTCTATTCCAGATTCAAAAAATACCAACAATCTGCATTTCTATCATGTCTGGACACAGACTATTCACCATCACCTCCATCCTGTTAACTATGGTTCCCAAGCACTGGTTCAAGTTTGAGATGGCTGCTATTGGATATGATAGTGTGGCAGTTCGGTTGGGTCCCAACTGGATGAAAGCCCTTATCCTTGGCTGCCTACTTAGTGCAGCTACTGAGCTGGCCAGAGCAGCTGGGCTCATACAAACACACTGCAATCATCCAGCTGGGTCTGGGTGATACACACTGAATCAGCAAACTCAGCCAGTATTACATCATGGAAAATCAGATTGTTATTGGCCACAAAACTGGCAGTCACATCTCAGTTCCAGATACAGGCCCTACTAAAATCAAATCCTGCATAATCCAGTTGTGGTGAAAATAATACTCAGCCTTAATAAGAGAAATAAGCAGCAATTATGTATGTAAATTTGCAAGAGTACAAATGAAAAAGAAAACAAAATTGTTTAAAATATTTTAGCACAGAATACATTAAAATTAATCAAATATACAGGTTTTTAATAACAATTACTTTGTATAGGGTACATCCAACTCTGTTGAATTTTTATTGGAATTTCTGTTTGCTTGCTTGCTTGCTTGCTGATAAAGGCAGTATTAATGACTGGTTCATAATGACTAATGAGTGTGAAAGTCTTTAGTTGTAAAAACAATCCATCAGTTTAATCAAATACTACATTAATTTCATATATTGTCTGTGGTGACATTGCTCTGCAAATGTGTTGAATAATGAAGTGAGACATGGGGGGGGGGGGAAACATATTTGTTGCTTTCCTATAAAATTCCACATTGTATGTATATAACATTTAAGGATCATTTCCAAAATCTTTCCAGCTGATGTGCACTCAACTGTGAAAGCAGATGGAAATCCCTTTTCATGAGGGCTTTTCATGGAATGTAGGACAAGGCTATCTGGAGAGGCCGGCAACTAGTCTCCCTGGAATTCACATGGAATTTACTGCCACAGGAGGTGGTAGTGGCTACAAGCATGGACGGCTTCAAGAGGGAATTGGATAAACATATGGAGCAGAGGTCCATCAGTGGCTATTAGCCACAAGGTATAGATAGGAACTCTCAGGCTGGGGCAAGTGATGCACTGTATTCTTGGTGCCTGGGGGGGCAACAATGGGAGGGCTTCTAGTGTCCTGGCCCCACTGATGGACCTCCTGATGGCACCTGGTATTTTTGGCCACTGTGTGACAGAGTGTTGGACTGGATGGGCCATTGGCCTGATCCAACATTGGCTTCTCTTATGTTCTTATGTTCTCCCCATTATTTGACTTCTTGGGCTGCATCCACAAGGCAAAGATTCTCTGCTATCCTGTCATCACCTCTGTAAATGCAGAAACATTAGCACTGGCAATGGAACATCTGTATAGGAGTTTTGAGAGCCCTTACTTCCATCAGTCACCATTTTTCCTTCCTTTCTCCCCACTATGTCACCAAAGCACGTATCTTAAAATTGGTAATTATGATTGTACAGGATTGCAATAATATTGTAATGATCTGTTGTCATGATTTACTAGTATTCCTCAATATATTAGTATTTCTGAACGATTTACTAGTATTTCATTTTTTTAAAAAAAGTATCTAGTCCTTTTCACTGTGGGACTTGGGGAAAGTACAGTTTATGCTATTTTTTTTTAAAGCTCTCCAGTGGTGTAGCAAGGAAAATGGCAGCCATCAATGGCTGACAGAAGGTGTAGGAGGCTGGACTAGATGAGTTCCATCTAGCTCTGGGATTTTTATCATTTTAACTCTAAAGTAACATTACCGAACATTCCCTTGGTATTTCAAGATGTGTACTGGCATTACAGTTTCTTAAAGATTCTCAGGGGCAAGAATTGGTTACAGACTAGCAGAATCCAACTTCTGTTTTTTTTAAAATATAAAACCAGTCTTTGCCTGGTCCATTTATTCTACCCATCATGCAGATTCATGTTTACTTCCACTGTAAGGTCAAAATTTGTGAGTCAGCCCAAATGAAACACAGATACATCATGTGATGAAACCATGCCATGGCTTTCTAAGATGTAGGTGTACACTGCAGGTTTGAAGGCTGAAAAAAACTGTTTCCTATACGTGGAAAGCTAATAGGTAGTATGTAGGGAGAAGAACACTCATCTTACCAATGGTAGAAAGTTTTATTGTTGTTGTCATGAGAACATATGTGGTTCCTTCCAGATAGATTGCACTATGTGTCATTTCTGTGCTTGAGTCTGCTCTACAAGTATAATATTATTTTTTAATATTTTGTGTGTGTTTGCCTGCACCTGGAAATCATGATTGTCTTCTGGCGACCCCTAGTGGGGCTTGGACATTTCAGAGAGGTGGCTTGCTATTGCTTGCCTCTGTGTGCTGGCCCTGGTATTCCTTGGAGATCGCCCTCCCAAGTACTTGCCAGGGTTGGCCCTGATTAGCTTCTGAGATCTGATGAGATCGGGCTTGCCTGGGCTATCCAGGTCAGGGCAAGTATAACATTCTTGACTAATCTAAGTAGTTTAAAATAGGAACTGATCTCTCTCTTTCTCTATGTATATCAGTCCTTTAAATTAAGACAACCCTATTAGCAGGATTATAGTCTGTGACAAAATCGATGATTTTGTGCACTGAAAAATACATCCCATGCTGGGATTCTCATAGAGTATCTAAATGACTGGGCTTTTTATTTGTGTCAGTCAAGACACCATTTTTTCACACCTCCCCCTTTCCCCCCAATGTGCCCCTTTTTCAAATCTCGGGTGCTCGTTCCAGTAATACCGATAGAAACTCCTGCAATTAGGAAAGCCCTAGGATTCCTACAGTCTTATACAGGTTCACCAGTGGGCATGCTCGAGTCTGACTTATGGATGCTGGCACCAGTTTAAAGCCTAATGAGGTGATTTAAAAATGCCACAAGGGCTCAGCCCTGATGGGGCCCACAGCATGACGAGATGCTCTTGTTTCCCCTGATGTGCTTTTTCAAGTGCTTAAATGACCCCCACATACACACCTGTGGCAAGAGCATCTCATCCCACTGTACTGTGGCAGCATTCTAAAACTGCCTCATTAGCCTTTCAAATGCCATCACATCTCGTTTGGCCCTTATCCCACTATTTAGTTGGGTAACTAAGCATAGGACAGTGAGAACTCCACTGTATGATTTTTGCCCTGGGAAAGGAAATGTAAGACTGTGTTATATATCTCCACAGCCAAGGTCTTTGAATCTATAGCTGTATCTGTCTATCACATTTTTTCTCTCTCTTTCCCCCCAAGGAGGTTAGGGTTTCCCATACGGTTGTTCTTCCTCCATGTAAAGTAGGTTAGCTTTAAAGAGAAGTTGCTGTCTCAGGGTCACCCAGTGAGCTTTATGGCTGAGTAGGGATTTGAATCCAGTTCTTCTTTGTCCTATTACATCACTCAAACTGTTATATCACACTGTCTCTCATTTGTCTCATTATGACGCTTTTAAGAAAAAGACCCAATTAAAGAATTTGAGTCTCCATCATGTGTGACTGCAAATGAGACATGACATCATGAGACCTATGAACAAGTTTCCTACTTTTGTATGGTTAATAACAGCTAGAGGGAGGGGACTAATACAGATCAGGGTCATAGTGTGTGTGTGTGTGTGTGTGTGTTAACTCTTTCCTTGCATGGTTTTTCCAGAGCTACTATTTTGCCTTGCAGGCAGAAGTACAGGAAACATATTGGTAGCTTTATGTATCCGCCTATGGGTCAAAAAAAGCTGTGTGTGTGTGTTTGAAATTAGAAAAACAGCACAGGGTCAGGGAGAGGATTAACATCTACAACATATATACCATAGTCCTGATATGAGCTCCCCTGCTGCATTTAAACATCATGAAAAAGAAGTGTGGGAGATTTCTCAACTGCACATATCTTTTGGCCCTTTGTAGCTTATGCACAGGAAAATGAACTTGTGTTATTATGGGAACAAAGGCAAACGAGATTGAAGTTAAGCAGGGCTAGCCTAGTGAGTGCCTGGATGGAAGACTTTACTTGACATGACTATGAACATTGCATCTAGCTCTGTGGAAGAAGGGTGAGCTATAAACCTAAATAGCTGTGGGAAAAATACAGAGGTGGGTTTGCCCTTTTTCACTCATCTTTACTAGATTTATTACTAAAATTAAAAAACAATGCTTTGTTTAGCCTTCTCATTTACCTGTTATAGATGCTTTATGTGTTGGTGCAACACTCTTGCCACGTAACAACTACAATACCATTACATTTTGAAGAGAATTTACATGGACAAGAAGAGTTTGGGCAGTTATAAGAATAGCTCCCCCACCCCCACCCCTTGTACAAAGTGTCAGTCACTGCACACAACTCCCTGAATAGTGCCGGAAA